TCTCCTAGGTGACAGGTGTTTTCTGCCTTACAGATCTCTGGTGAGGTTTTCCTCATCATCCAGGAAGGTTCCATCAGCACGTGGCTCTGCCCACTTTCTTTCCCCTGCCTCTTCTCCCTGCATGGGACTGCAGGCAGTTTCCTAATACAACAATGGTGATTCTCCAGCAACCTTGTACAGGAACATTCCTTATCCTTGGGTTTTAGCTTCAGCTCGATATCTCTGAAACCCTCTCTGGCCCCCTTGATAGCAGCCTGAGAATGCTAAACTGTACCTTACCCTTACATTTGTGCAGGTGGACACATGCCTGGAGTAGAGAGAACTCAGGTAGCTTGTACTATGGGATGCTGGTTAGCAGGGTTGGCAAGTAGCTAATGAACCCTTCTTGGGAGGGTTCCAGACCCTTTGCACAAACCTGTCCTCAACTAGAAAGCCCAAATGGTTGCCCAAGCTCATAGTAGAAGGCTCTGTTGCCCAAAATTCTTCAACAGAACCACAAACCAGTTGGAAGTGTGCTTTATTGGATCTCAGTTACTCTGTTTGTTTTCTTCCGTTTTCCAGCTTCTACAGCCCACTGCATGGCTTCGGCACCGAGGCTATTCTATGCAAATGGGAAAGTAACTGGGTGCAGTGGTGAATAGACTCAGACAAGGAGGCAGGAAGGAGGTGGGAGAGATTCTGGGAAGCCGAAGCCAGGCTGGGATGAAAAAAAATTGCCCCCTCAAACTCCCACCACCATCTTGAACTGCCTCCCTTGAAAAAAGTGTCAGACTGAACAGCCCACCCATCTGGCCTCACCATGCCACCCAGGTCTGTCTGGTGAAAACTGGCTACACACTCCCCATTCTCAGAGACAGGAAACCTAGAGCCTGTCAGCTAGCTCTGTGTTATGCTAGCTCTGCTCTTAATTCTTCTTTGGGTATCAAGTTCTTCACCTAAAAATGGAAGCTTACATTAATTACGCTAATGGCTCTCACTCCTGGCCTGTGACTCACAGTAAGAAATACATCTGACACCTGAACCCTACAGAAACACATCCGGTGAGGCACCAGTCTTCCCTGTTACTGAACAATGCCAACCTTTATAACACACCATGTTTCCTCCATTATTGTCACCTGCATGCTTTTATTAAAGTGTGACATGTGTACAGTGGAGGGAACCCATCAGAACTCAGCAGCTTGATGCAGTTTCAAAAACTGAAAACAGCTATGGGAGACAGGTCCAGTGATACAGGCACAGCATCCCAGCTTCCCAGCTCCTCAGGAGGCTGAGATAGGAGTCAGTTTCTCTCTCCTCCTCTGTCTCCCTCCCTCTCTCTCCCTGTATCCACCTTCCTTCTCCCTCCCCAATCTGTCTCATGTACACACACACACACACACACACACACACACACACACACACACACACACAGTGGGCCACTGAGGAGGTATGAGGTATAAGGACCTTAGTTTAATCCTTAGTACCAAAGGAAAAGAAAAGAAAGGAAAAGAAAAGAAAAGAACATAAAAGAAAAGAAAAGAAAAGAAAAGAAAAGAAAAGAAAAGAAAAGAAAAGAAAAGAAAAGAAAGCTACCAGTAAGCAGCCCTCAGATCAAAGGGCAGAACAACAGTAGTACTTTGGAAGCCTTTCCCATTCTCTCCCCAACCCCAGCTCCTCCCCTACGGGTAATCACTCCCCAGACATCTAAGGCATTTGTTTTTGCCTACTTTTGTGCTTTATAAAAGGGAGTTATAAAGCTCTGTGCCTGGCTTCTGCCTTTCAGTTTCATGTTTGTGAGGATCATAGTCCAGCCCCACTGTGGGAAGAGACTGCATTTGTCCATTCGAGGCTGGGTGTGGCATGTGTTTGGTGCACCTGTGTGCATCTTGTGATTTTTGTATTATATGCACCCATATGAACACTTCACGGGTATACTCTACAGAGTGGAGACGCTTGCATGCCTATGTTCTCAATAGTTGGTAGTGCTGAACAGTGTCCCAAAGTCAGCATGCTACTTCAATCCAACCAGTATTTCAGTGACTTTACATGGCCATAGACACTGGGCAAAATCCATCTTTTCCATTCAAGCCTTCCTAATGGAACTGTGGTAGTGGTGGCATTTATTTCAGGATGGTTCCCATGTATCATTTTCTCAAGAATGGTGATGTTTCCATGGCTTTTTTTCTCCCTTCTTTTTGGAAGCATCTAAGTCTTTTGCCCAGTTTTTTATGAGCTGTTTGTCTTTTTGTTATTGATTTTTATGAAGAGCTGATTCCCTCCTACTGCATATATATCGAGCAAGTAATCTTTGTTGAAGTGTCAAGCATGGTGGGGTAAGCTTGTAATCCCAGTGTTTGGGAGGGCAAGCTAAGACAGGAGAACCACAATTTCCAGGCTAGCCTGTACATAAAGGAGAATCAACAAAACAATCAAATAAGTAAACCTTCTCTATAGGTTAATGGGTCACTGTAATTAATTTTAATAAATGATGACCTTAAATCATCAAGTTAATTTCATAACTTGAAATGGATCACCACCCACAATTTGGAAATGGCTTCAAATTGGTTGTGTGGCTTCCATGGGTCTGGAGCTCCCCTAAAGGCCCCACTGGCTCTATAGCAGTCAGAATGTTTCCGTGTCTGCAGCCAGTAACTGTCTGGAGAGCAAAGGCCAGGATATTAGTTTTATTTAGTTAAAAACCAACTAACAAATCTATTTTCTATCTTAAATGACAACAACATCCAATTCTCCTGAGATTCTAAGTCTGCCAGCCCCTTTCAGACTAAGGGGAAGGACTTTGGGAATGAACAAGTTGTGGAATACCTTGGTAGAGATAGACGATATGTTTTCCTGATATGATTCTTCACCCAGAGATGTGACAAGCCTTCCAATAGTGCCAAGGATACAAGATACTCCCAGAGGTCCTTTATATCCTACAGGTAAGAACAACTCTCCCTTAGCTCTGCCAACAGTGGCCACTAGATGTAGGCTTCCCCATGGCTGAGGTTCTTAAGGGTCATTCCACTCAGCCTCTCCCCTCCCCCAACTCTTCAGAGCAGCTTTCTCCATAGTCTCAAAGCTTCAGGAAGCAGGGGGAGTGTCACTTCTATCAAATAGGGTGTCCTATTTAACCCAAGATAATGGAGCTAGTCAGCTGACAGAACTGGCTAGAGAGCCAGACTGACTGACTTCAGCCTGGGTTATTCTTCTTGGTGAGAACCAGACATTGTGTGGAGATTGGTCATGCTAAAAGGACTGGAGGTTCGAATACAAACATAAAACCCCCTGTGCACACACACAGATGCATATGCATATCCACCTGTACACGAGGCATGTACATAAGTGTATACACACTGCTGGTTTTTCTCTCAAAAAAATCTATGGTCTGCACTCAAATGGTATATTCATGCACTGAGCCAAATTTTATCTTGTGCTGCTTTGAAAATGTTTAAGAGTCTCTAATGCATGTATAATTCAAAAGTACAAAGTGTGGGGCATTTATTTTACAGTTTACAACTCTCCTTGCCATTCACTAGCTCATCTGATGTTCCCAATAGCCTTCTAAACATACATAAATACATAATGCTTTACATGGTCCCTGACCTGTTAGTCTGGGACTCTCATTCCAGGGACATGAGTTCTTGCTGTCCAGGACTAGAGCTGTGACCCTGGCTATGGGGTAGAAGAGTTTGTACAGCTCTGGAATCTATCTTCATTTTTCCTTTTCAACTGCTTGTTTCCATAGCAATCAATCTATCCTTATGAAATTCTGAGTTTTAACTTCATGGCCTTTCTTGGCTTGGAGTTGTTTGTATGAGAATTTATCAGGTATGAACATTTCTCTTTTATGCCTTTTAAACGTGCTGTATCTTCGTCTTCTTTCTTTTTTTTTTAAATTAGAGTCACCTCTACCTTTTGTCCTCTCTTAGCCAAAGGTAAGTAATTCCGTCACCAGTTAATGAACTCTAGGACTCATACTGATTGTGTATCTCCTAGGGACCAGGTATTAAGTTCCGCGTGACCATTACCCCAACACAGACTCTCTCTGACAGGCATGCATTAGCGTCTTCATCTCACAAATGAAGAGATAGAAGTTTGGAGATGAGAAGCAACAGTGTATAGCCATATACAAAGTCAGCAAGCCTTAAAAGCTGGATTGGACTCAGGTCTTACTGAATGGCCAATCCTGACTCCTTCTACTGCCTGAGACTGCCAGAAGTAGCATCTTGCTTACTTACTATGAGTTAGCTAAACCATGTGGCTGGAGGGAGCAGCAGCAGTGTCATCTCACTCCCTTCTCCATTTCTCTAAGATCAGAATAATACAGCAGCCTTCCTGCCAGCTCAGCATGAACAAAACTGCAATGAAGACTCAGGCTTGCCTCTGCACCATCCCTCCCACTGACAGTGGCCTGCAGTTTGTGTTCTAGGCTGGCTCGATTTGTAAGGTGACATTTGCTGGGTTGGAAAGAAGAGATGAGTAGGACTTGTCCTAGAAATGAAACTATAGTGGAATTATTGGAGGAACAAGGGATTTAAAAAATGGTCTGAGGAGGGGTGGGAATGGGGTTGTGTTCTTGCTGTATAACCATGGCTAGAACTGTCTAGCAGGGAAGGTATGGCAGGATGGGAGGAAGAAGGGTGGATTTCAAATCAAGAGAGTCTAGAGAATGCTCTAAAAGGCTTGAATATGGACAGACCCCAGGTTCCCCGGTAGTTCCTGGAGCTCCAGGTCCAGCCCAGACATCCATAGGAATCTCTACTCTGACAGTGAAAAAGACTCCACACTTCTAACACCCTTTCATCTCTGAAAGCCGATAAGCCTGTGAAATATATGCAAATCATTACAGCAATAAACCCATGCTCCCTGCTCATTGTTCTTGGGGAGGAGGAAACCTTTATTATAAAATAAATGGAGATGAAGTTATCTGTTAGCGCATATTTAAAAGGCAGGGTGAGGGGAGCACCTGTAACATTAACTTAAGTCATGAATACTCTGAAGTGGAAAAAAAATTGACTCACTTTTTAAAAAAAATCTTCTTAAAAGGGTCTAAGAATAGTCCTTCAAATAATCCTTGAAGTACGCAATTTTAATTTGGACACATGGTAATTTCAGTCTACCTGTTGGAAGAGACAAGAAAGAAATCAGTCACTATTGATGAGGATTGCTCTTCTAACAAGTGTCAGAGAAGATTCTGGAAGCTTAGGGCTGGTGCAGGAGCGAGTGGGTGGGGCCGAGTTTTGGGAGGGGCGGAGCCACAGCATTACAGTAGCCCTAAGCTGAGGCTAGGTTTCACAATGAAGGTAGTAGGACTTGGTTTGAGCAAGGGCTCAATCAATCTGTATGGAAGGAATGAAGAAGGGTGGATGGATGAGAATTATCATCGAACTTTGATACAGAGAGCTGCTCTGTAGGCTTAACTCTTCAACTCTGTGGGAGAAATAAAATTTCTCAGCGCTGAGCATAGTATGAGAAACGGAACCAAAGCCATGTTTGTGGTGTACTAACATGAATGAGGGATGCTGGGCCAGCTGTACCTGTGATCAGAGTTCTGGCTCTGCAGCTGAAATCAGCTCTAAGCTGACTGATGTATGAATACTGTCGTGCTTAAATTGGATACATAGGCCATTCATTAATTTTTAGCCCTTTTCTTTTTCTAACATAAGCACTGAAGACCATAAATTTCCCTTTAAGTGTTGTCTTGGCTGTATTCCACAACTTTTGATATTTAATATTTCCTTGATAGTTCATTTGTAACTATTTTGTAATTTCTATTGTCATTTCTTTTTGACCCATGAGTGAGTTAGCAGTGTGTTTGTAAAATCTCTCAATACAGTTTTAAAAGATACAAAATAGAAAATGTCTCATCTTCCTGTTATTGACTTTTAGCTTAATTGCATTGTGGTGAGAAAATGTGGTCTGTAAAATTCTGATTCCTTGAAATTTATTGGGAAATGTTTTATGGACTAAGATGTAGTCAACTTTTGTAAATGTTGTGTGTGCACTTAGAATATTAATGCGGTTTCTGAGGCGATCTCTGGCCAGTTTCTTTTTTGCTTCCTGCCTTCCTTTCCCTCTCCTCTGTCCTCTGTCTCTCTCTCTCTGTCTCTCTCTCTGTCTCTCTCTGTCTCTCTCTCTGTCTCTCTCTGTCTCTCTCTCTGTCTCTCTCTGTCTCTCTGTCTCTGTCTCTGTCTCTCTCTCTCTCTCTCTCTCTCTCTCTCTCTCTCTGTCTCTCTCTCTCCCCCCTCCCCTCCTATCTTCACTCTTCTTTCTTGAGACAGGGCCTCATGTAGCCCAGGCTGGCTACAAACTCACTATGTAGTTGAAGATGACCGTTAACACCTAGTCCTCCTGCCCCACCTCCAGAGTGCTAAGTGGGGATTGAACTCTGAACTTTGTGTATGCTAGCCAAGCACTCTAGCCATAGCCCTGCTTAGGCCAATTTCTTTCAGCTCTCTCTATACTCTCGTTTCTTTGCTGGTGAAAGAGGTTGTGAGCAACCCACACAGCTCCAAATTACACTTAGCTCTGGTCACAAAAACCCAGACAAACAACAACAAACCACAAAACCACGGAGAGTAGAAGAGAAAGCTGCCCAGGTTGGGCTAGCTTTCACTTTTAATAAATAATATTAACGGCAGCACCTCATGCTCTCCAACCATTTGAAGTTTCTAAATAATGAGCACATTTGTCACTGGGTCTTAGCAAGTCTGTCTGTAACAGAAGCTGTTGTGTCACTCAGAAAGGTAGCAGGTAGGACATTGCAAAGGAAGACACTCCTGGTGTGTGTGCGTGCACCCACATGAGAGTGCACGTGCAGTTAGTCACTCTAGCCTGAGTACTGGAACCCAGATCCTCTACTCTTTCCTCTGTCACTCCTTGTCTGGCTCAGATACATCTTCTCCCTCACTGCCTGTGAGATCCACCCCGTGATCACCTGCAAAGCTGCCCTCCTTGCCCTGATCAGATACATCTTCTCAGATCTGCTCCGGTGATCGCCTGCAATGCCGCCCTCCTTTCTAACCTGCTTCATTCCAAGATTACATTCTGTCAAGATTTTAATATACAACCTCAGGAGGTAAATTCAAAGGCAATCTCCTTGGCAGATGTAATTCTGGAACAGGGCTGGGGTTAAGGAGTGGGTGGTGAGTGGAGCAGCACTGAGTTGACAGAGTTTCAGGACTCTTCCTCAGGCACACGCCCTTCCCGTGACCTTGTCCCCTCCCGTACTGCATGCTCTTTTCTTCTAGGAGCTTAGCTGAAAGAGCTGTCTGCATCTTCTACACCTACGCTTTCTTCAGGGATGACTGGTGGTGTGGCTCTCATTCGCTGAATGTTCTCATCAGGATCGTGATGATGGCACTGCAAAGGATGGATTCCTGGTGGCCTCTCTGACTCATCTGCAGCAGGAGCTGCCCGTCCTTCTGGAAACTGTCCTGTCTCAGCATTTATGCCACCAGCTTCCCCTGCCTTTGCTATCTTCTAAGAAGTCCTTATGGGGTTTGAATTTGAATTTCTATGATTTAATTAGAATCATTTCAAAAAGAACAGTGACCCTAAGCTACCATTTATTAAGTGCACACTAAGTTCATGCTGGTTAATGTGTTGAACATTATTTCATTTTTCTTCATTTGCACAATAACCAGCAGAGGTAGATGTTACTATTTATATTTTCCAGATGAGAGAATGGAAGGGTAGAAAAGTCTTATAAACTCCTAGGACCAGTCAGCTGAGACATGGGAGATTAGGCGTCAAACTCCTGTTTCATCTAATCCAGAGCATATGGACTCCACTGTGCTCCTCCCCCCTGCCAGCCTCCTAGTTCTTGGCCTCTGAGATTACCACCTCCCCACTATGTTATGCTGTCTTTCCTTCACTTTGTTCGGCCTCCCCCAGAAGGCCTCTGACCTGCAAAACAACTCATTGGTCCAGGCCCTGCTCATATGTCTTTCCTCAATGCTCTTGCCAAGCCTACTCAATGAAACTACTCCCACCCCTCATTGGGAAAATTCTACATACCAAGCTACCCATTGGTCCCCTAAGGGTTACACATACAGAGCAGCAGATTGCTTTTCAGAAGTCTAAATAAAAGCAGTCAAACAAAGAGATTGGTTCTCAATGTTTCTTTTCTCTTGGTTTGCTTTCTTTCTTTGATTGTTGTTGTTTTTAATTTAATTGTATTTATTTATTCTATGTGTATGGCTGTTTTGCCTGTATGTTATACTACCTGCATGTCTAGGATCCACGGATATTAGAAGAAGGTATTGGATCCTTTAGAACTGGAGTCACAGATGGTTCTGTGTTGCATGTAGGTGCTGAGGTTTGAACCACGGTCCTCTGGAAGAGCAATAAGTGATGATCCAACTTTTCAGCCACCCTAAAGACATTTTGTAAATGCTCACCCTTGGAAAGACTATACCAGGCTATTATTAGAATGGAAGGAATCTTACTAGAAGTCATGGTGCTTGGGTAAGAGAGAAGTTCTGCTCAGCACTTGTGCATGGACGACATTCGTATGATCTATCTAGCCAGAACGGTTGCCAAGGTTACTAAACCAGGTCTTGTCGATTTCCTTACCCAATCGCCACATTTTAGAATCCCATTTACACATCAAGCTACACTCAAATGCCTCCTCATTCTTGAGAGATTCACCTTCTCTTTCTCTAAGAGGTGTAAATGAACCCACTTTCACTCCAGATCATCTTTGCTAACTAAGTAACACTTGGCATTCCATCATCCTCCATGAATGTCACAGTTCAAGAGGAGCTTCAGCATTCTCATTGCAGCCTCTGGCTCAAAGGTGAAGTCAGTTCATTCCAGATCAATTCAGAACCAAACCTAGGGTTTGACACACAAGTGTCAGTGACTGAAACAAGGTGGCATTGACATCCAAAAATCACCAAATGCAGGTCTCACTAGATGAAAATAAAAATACCAGGTACTAAAGAAATACCAAATCCATCCAAAGAGATAAGGAGACCAAAAGGAGGTGGGTGTTTTCATTGGACATGAAATTTGTGCATAGTGGCTCATAAACATGTCAGTGAGGTGGTTTTTGACATGTTCCAGGTGAATGAAGCATTGGAAATCTATATTTGGACATACCCAGTTCCCACAGTCAAAAGATCAGAGTCAGAACTTAGAAGGTAGAAAGGACTTCAGGCAGAGACACTACAACCAGGGTTCAGCAGAGGGACCAGAAGGTCTGTGTCCATGCAGCCCTCTATCCACTCCCAGACCAGCAGATGAAGCCTCCAGGAAGCCAAGTGCTTTTGGTATCACTAAAAATAAACTCCCCAAACTTCATCTAGATATATTGCAGCTGCAATTTACAGCGTCTAGAATTTTACATGGTATAATTAGCAAATGGATTACAATGATTTATTTTTGGTTTCAAAGCTCAAATGAACACAACCTTCCAGTGGAATGGGAAAAGAAGAGGCTTGGAGCCAGCCACATTCCTCCAGCTCCCCTCCAAAGCCATAATTTCCATTCTGGCAGGCATCCATCTACTGATGTCCAGTGGACATGCCATGAGAGGGGACAGGAACTCTGGGTTCTGGTGTCCCTGAGAAGTATGATTTTGGTGATAAAGCCTCTAACAGGGTCTAAGTTTACTCTTCCAGTAACCAGGAAGGTGCCTAAAATCACTCTGTTTACATACAGGGAAACCTGTAGCATTCACTGTGGAAGAAAGAAGAGCCACAAGCCTTAAATTTATCTACAAGCATTAGCATTCACTAAGCCAAACACAGCAGAGACTAATCTCACAGAGGGATTCCCTCTACAAATACTAGATGCGTTTTCAGGATAGCTTCCCTCAGCTTGCCTTGGCACAGGGAGAAGCCTACAGGACTGGTTCTGAGAGTCTCAGTGGAACATGGTACTGAGAGAGGTTGGGCCATACAGCTAAAGGAAGACAGGCCTGGCCAGTCTGGAAGCAGAACTGTGTTTGGGTTTTCCTTCCTTACATATGCCAGGAATAACTTCTCCATGTACTTTTTATAAAATGGCCATAATGAGTAACTGTCTCAGAAGACTACTCTGGTGATAAAGGGAGAAGTATGTGAAAGAAGTTTTAATAAATGAATACTATAGATTTTTGTCAAGTAAATAAATT